GGGGGGGGGGGGGGGGGGGGGGGGGGGGGGGGGGGGGGGGGGGGGGGGGGGGGGGGGGGGGGGGGGGGGCTAGCTCCATCCGATGGCAAGCAACAGTCCGTGAGGTAAGCCACACCGATAATAAGCGGTGATCTGCAATGAGCCAAGAAAAGCTCACCATGTGGTTCGCAATTGCCGTGAACTCCGTGTCAGTGATCGGCTCGATTCGGGCGTAGGGCAGCTTGACGTCCACGCTCTTCCCCTCCAGGGGTTCGACGCCGGCTTCGACGTCGATCAGGTACGTGCTCAAGAACTGGGCGTTGATGTTGTAGGTTGCTCGGTCGAACGTGTCAGCGCTCTCGTACCACAGGAACTAAGCAGAAGCAAAAAAAAAAAAAACGCGCCCCAATAGCCGTAGCCGTTTAGAACCGAAACTTGAATAAATATTTTTTCGGGCCGGTTGACCAAAAATGAGCTGTGCGTTGTGCACTTGTGTCTACTGTCGAGAAAATCAGTAGGTCCCTTCTGAGAGCAAGTCGTTGTTTATCCTCGCGAATAGTGGGAATTGCAGGGAAGGCAGGCAAGTTGAACCCGGGATGTGGAGTGGTCGACCACGAGGCTAGCAAGAGGTAGCACCTGTGTGGCAAAGACGTGCTTCCTCGGAATTGCCGCTATGCCTCTGTGTTGTCCTACGAGCAACACAGACAATAAAACCCCGGCGCGAAAAGAGAAAACCAAGAGCCTGCTTTGCGTGGATCGATACCTTCCAGCAACTTCGGCACAAGATTAGAAAAAGCCTCGCGTGTTTGCTACCAGACGGTGATTACGTGTGTGCAGGAGCACGGTAGGCCAGCACCGGTGACAGGACGACGTTTTTTTTTCACTCCAAATACTCGCAGCTTTCGCTCCGGTGCTGCGCGTTCGTCAGGCGGCCAGAAAACACAGAGGTGTGTCCGTGTGTGCTTTGAAGGTCGTTTTCGTTGCCCACGTGTGCAATACAATAGTGCAGGCTCGTCTTGCACACAACGGCCCGGTCTACCCAAACAACACCGCCCCGTCGGGGCTTGTTCGACCTTCCTTTCATTCTTCCCAAACAAAAACCGAGGAATCAAACAACCTGTTCCCCATCGGAGGCAGCCTCACTCTGACCGGCCCTTTTTTTTTCTCTCACATAGAATGACGCGTAGAGTGAATCCACGTCTCCGCTGTTGATTCCGTCTTCGTCTATTGTCAGCCGGGACAGAGGGAAAACGCGGCAGTGGGGGAACTCTTCCTCTATGGCCGACGTGGCGTCCGCGTTGTCGTCGAGGAAGGTGTCGAGGTCGTCGGTGAACCCCTGGTTAGGGCGCAGAGGGATTTCGTTACCGAGAGAGAGCCACGGGTAAAACAGCGTCGCAACAACAATACTTGTACGTTTGCATGGGTCGGACGTCGAGCACCAACAACGCTGTGTGTGCATAGCACGGCCGCCTTTTGTGCGTAAAAAACAGGACAAGTGCGGCGCGCGGCATCTACCACCACCCTTCTCTACAGTCCGGGACACATGAGGCACACAAGACTGCGAAGAAGCGCCCGCCCGAATCAGCTCTACCCCCGGCTCCGAGTGACCACGGCTTAAAATACTTCCTCCGGGAAGCCGAGAGCGATCGAACGGGTTTGGTCGCGCCTACACGCCATTGGAAGGGTAGATGCGCAAAGGCCGCGGGCAGAGCCCACCGCTTTGTCCGCATGCTAAGGCCCGATTGTTCCATTCCGAGACCGCCCAGAGTTCCATGACACTGAACAAGCCTGGGTCACCCAGAAGTAATGTCGACTTGATTAATTTTACCGACTCAATGTGTGACGACGACATACCTCGGCGGAAGCTATAGCGCCCACTGCGAATTCGAAGCAAGAGTTGGTTTCCTCCAGGCAGCCGTTGGTGAATTCCGTGCAAAACATGATGTCAGGGAACTCGTAGTGCTCTTGCTGCTCGTTAGGACAGAGGGGTGCGCGAGAAAAAAGCAACAGCAGGCGCGCGGGATAGCGGCAGCGGACGCGGCGGAGCCGGCGGCGGGCGTTCGGACAACAGAACTCTGGCAGGCTTGCAGAGGAAAAATAAACGCTCACCAGCATGTAGACAAGCGTCATGGGCTACTTCTTTCGCAACATTGACGAGCCTGTCTTTAGCAGCCGAAATCAAACCATGCGGGTGACCATGGAGAACACGAAGCGAAGCACATCTTGGATAGACAGCAGCGCTGGCGAGGGGAGTTACCCTCCTCAGAGTGAAGGTGTCGGGTCCGTCAGACCCCACGACTAACTGTTCCAGAAGCCGAGATCAAACAGTAACACAGGCTACACAGTCTAACGGCTTGGTTTCGGCTTCTTAAGACCCCGCAAACGGTCAAAGCAACAAGAGCGATCGCAGAGGGTGGAAGGGTGAACAACAAAGATAAACCCTCTTGGTTGGCGTTGGAAGAGAGCGCCTGTTCATGTTGCACCCACAAATGCCATGCAGCGATCATGATCCTAAGCCGTCGTGTTTTTGGCCTAGCAGTTTCCCAGAAAAACAAGCCACCGGGTCATGCGGGGAGCCTGAAAACCGAGATTTCACGTTTGCCTAAGGTCCTCGTTGAAACGTGCGAAAAAAGATCGTTTGGCCTCGCTGCGCGTTCTTTTATGGCGGTCGTCGTACCTTTAGCTCGATGCTTGAAGCCGGGTCCTTTCTGGACTCGAGTGTCTCCAATATGATGTACGCCACGTAACCCAGAAATCCCAGGAGAAGAAGGATCCAGATGACTGTCGCTTGCTTGCGGTGCCTCTTCACGACAAGCCTCGGCAGCCTGGACGATCCAAGGCAGCCGGGGGCAGGTTGGTCGTGGCGGACGGCAGCACGCTGGGAAATACACACACACCGGGTAGGCACCACCTCAATCGAGTACATGGTATGCATGTCGATTTGGCCATTCGACAGCGGCATGTGAAGATGATGACTCTTTCGAACACCAGCAGCAAGCTTTTCAGAAAACCGAGACAACAGTAGCAAACATCGGCCACAACAGCCGTCATGAATGAGGCATGCATGCCATGACATGCCAAAACTCGGTAGGGATCCTCCCCCGTATTTTGGTCGTTCAGCAACCTGGCCTTAAACCCTTTCCATGGTGACCAAACCTTGACCTTGGCAGCCGTTCGTGAGAAGGTTTGGGTCTCACGCGTGGGTAAGGGTTCTGCCAAAACATGATCGTCATCACGGGGTACACCAAATAATGTCACTACCCAGAAGAGAATCTGTCAATCAAGCCGTGGACGCTTCTCGTATCGCCCAGAGCCCTAGTCTCCGCCCTTCGACGGCAAACGAAAACGGACCTCGATGCACCAAGGTGATTGGGATCGGGCTTGGAATTGATGTAAACACAAACGAGAAAGCAGGAGGTGTGTGTCGAGAGGGCACCAAAAAGACTCGAGTCACCTCTTATTATAAAGCCAGGGGGCAACCCATCGAGGGAAACTGGTCGCCGGGCAAACTTCACCCCACGAGTTCACCGAATTGAACTCGCAGGAAATTGCGGCCGCTCATGTTAGCTTCCACTTACTTTCGATGGAAGCTGGCCATCGTGTTTCAATGCTATTGCTCAAACGTTTGACTCCCAACACCTCCGGACACGCATCGATAGTCCTTGAAAGCTTTCAAGGGATATGTAAAACGTGGCTTGTGTGAAGTTGGAGCTATAGCAAACGGTGTTTAGGAGTGCTAGAGAACCATTCCAAGCCTGCAAAGCTTTTTGTGGAGGCTTGACCGCGTCCCATGGCAATTGGCATGCTGCAAAATACTTTAGTGTAGGATAATACGAAAGTACCTTCAGTCTACACATGGCAAAAATAACGGATGGTTCATTTGCTATGACAGGACCAGTTTGTTGGCGATTTCTGATGCCTTTCCTGACAGTTTTTCCACCGTACTTCGTACCACGTACTCGAGTAGTGGTGGCCATGATTAACCAGAGGGTTGGGACAAACCAGTAATTCTCTCTTACCTTCCGGTTATCTCTTATACCGGTTTAACGTAGCGAATATTGAACGTCAGGAGATTGTAGAGCGGATAACTTGCCTACACTGACTGCCACATGAAGATGCCCATGAAGTAGGATATGAAATAGATCGTGCAAAACACTGCACCAATGCCTTGTTGTGCCTGCTTGGCACATACCACAAATGAAAGAACAAAAACGCGAGCCACGACAATAACCCAAGAAAAAGATGCGGGAGACACCTGATGTGTCGGATATGTCACGGGTGATAAGTCTCAGATTCAGAAGACGATCTCGATGATTCTGAACAAGGACGCACGGGCGACTCCTCGGGGGCAACCGTACAGTGCTGCACGGCTGAAAAAAAAGGAGTATGCCAAAAACGCTTCCCACGGAAAAGCAGCCCCTTGTGGAAACCCCTCTGATCCGGCCGCTCGATCGGCAACAGACCTCCACACCTAGCACCGGCTCTATAGGGCGAACGAAAGGACAAAACGGTCCAGTTTTCAAAAGAGTTACGTAAACAACATGCCGGGACACATCAGGGTATGCTTTTTACGTCCAGTGACGCACGGTAGGGTGAAGAAGTTGGACTTTAGCTAGAGCGTACCACCGTGCAGCAGCTTCAAGATCAGGGAGCGAATCTCACACGCGAACCGACCTCTGCGCGAGGCTGGCGTTTCGCGCTCTAATTATACTGCTGCCATATACCTACGCTGTATTGCCACCTAAAGCAAAAGGTTTGAGGCGACTACGTGCGGCAAAGGATAAGCATGGTGTCTTCAAAGTTCAAATTCAGGAGAGCCCGCGCCTAGGGTCTGAGCGCACCCTCTTGCATGTTGCGCATGCGCATCCAGTGGATACACTATCCCCACCCCTTGATACAATGGAAATGCATGATACAATTGTGCCTGCTCAGGGTCAGGCTATCACAACAAGTTTCAGCTAATTCGGGCGTCCAAGGGGGTAAGTGCGACTGTCTTCAAGTTCAAATTTATCTCGGTGCTTTGCCAATATACGAACAAAATATGACCGGGGCGCTCAGCTACATGTACTCAAGACTGTGCAGAAAGAGTCAAACGCCGCAGCATTACAGAGTCAGGTATATAGACTACGTAGTTGAACAGGTTTCAGTCCGGTGCATACGAATGCCCGTAGAGAGAGTTAGATCTTATGCATGGCTATCAAGAGGCAACGATGAGCCCAGACCACACGAATAGGCGTGCCCCTGCGTAAGCCGTACGTGTAACGAACCATTTGGTCATTCTGGTGGATACCCTGGAATAACGACCGGCCAAGGTCGAGCTGCTGCCAGATGAACCGTCGGAGAACTAGGCGGGGCTAGCGGGCCTGTGGGGTAAACAGCCCCACAGCTCAACCGGGTACGCCACGGACGTCTCCTCGGAACCAGCCTGGGAACCCGGAAGCGGGGGTATGCAGCCAGTACTAACCCTTCGCCAGCTCACGGAAGACGCTAACCCCGCGACAATCATTGGTCGGCAACACAGGAGCAGACGTCACAAGTGAACGTCCGCGGAGCCGGAGTAGGAGAGAGGGCAACCTAACCACCGAGGTGCGTAACCAGTCGCCGCGACAAAGCGCGTCGCGAGAGATTCCGGTGCACACGTCCGTCGGACGGGAGGAAAGACCCGGTCGGGCAGCAAACGCAAGAGGGGCCATCTGTTAGGGATACGGGTGGCCTACCCAATCTTGCGAGTAAGATCGTGGAGGAGGATTGCTACAAGCAATAGAGCGAGGCGAGGAGGGAGGCAAGGCCCGTAAAGATCGCGCGATTGTCGAAAACGAACGGCGAAAAGCAGAAGCCGGGCGGAATCACCGCATTGATTCTCGGCGTAGGAGTCACGGCGGGAACCCAAGACAAGCCGGTTATCAGCGAATCAAGCGGAATGCGGGTAGGAGACAAGCTGCCCCAGCGGTGCTATCGGTAGGCCAACCAACAATGAAGAAGTGAAACAAGATGTGCGGGCGTATGCAATGCCGATGGGATACGCACAACCCTCACCAAGTGTAGCAAAGGCCTCGGGAGTGAAGTGCACTCGGCCGACGAGAAGCATGTGCGGCATGCCACAGGTCTGCGAATGACAGGGGGTTCACGTACCTCCACGCGGACCGGTTAGGGCGAGCAGTAGCCTTCGTGGCGGTGTGGACACGCGGAGGGAAACCCCTCCTCTATCTCTGGTACGAGACTTCAGGCCCACCCAGGACTGAATCTGCCAATACGCCCGGATTGCTTCCTAGATTTGTAAGCCGGGGAATAAAGGAGGGCAGAGTTTCGCGTTTGCGGTAATTGTGGGTGTTCCGGAAATCGGACAAGAGCCGCGTAAGATGGTATCCCATGGATGCTGCAGGTGATCGTGTCGCGGAGGGGAGTGCACCAGTGAGCGAAGTGTTTGGTGGTGCGGTCGTTGCTATCAGAACCGGTTGACATGAGGAGATATGACGAACAGCCAGAGCACCCAGGAACACTGTATGTGGATTGAGGGGCGAGGCGCCGACGCCTCCAGACCCGTCGGGCACGGTGTGCGCGATGGTGGATGAGGTCCTCGGTCGAGGCGAGATCCTTTGCTGGCAGGACGTCGCCGATTGGCTAGCTGCTGAACGCGCAAAGGTTGGTATGGAGGATTTATAAGGGAGATACCCAACAAAACTCGTCCTGGACTTGTTTACCAGCATACCCGCGGCGCTCGGGAGCAATTCAAGATAGTTAGAGTAGATGGAGATATGGAGCAAAGGGAGACGCACGCCAGCGGGAATTTGCCTCTTCCAAACTCCATTGGGGACGAGCAGCCAACCCGAAAGCAGATAAGGAGGGGTCGCTCGAGTCGATCCTTGGAGCTAGTCGAGAAGGACAAGGAGGACGCAGATGCTAGGATGTGCGCCGTGCGGGCAGCTGGTAGGATTGTTGTAGCCGATGTGGAGAGTGAGCCTCGAGGAAGAAGCAGGAATCGCACGGAGTGCAACAGAACGACGTTGAGGTGGGGACCCCCGAGTCACCTGTGAGCAACGACTATTCCTCCAGCGAGGCCGCAGAATCGAAGAGCGCAGAGCTGGAGAACTCCGAGTCGGACGAAAAAGGCAACGCCTCGGTCGGTGCACTCGACGATTTGATGAAGTGGGATTCGGCCGAATCTAGCTCCAGCTGTGAGGAATCTGACGGGTTGAGCGAGCAGGGCGTCCACCCGGTGTGGAGTGACGGAGACACAGATGATGGCGTTGCGGACATCGTTAACGACGCCTGGAACCGAGATCTGGCTACTTCTTCAGGCAGGTGCATGTATCATTCCTTGAGGGACTTGGCTTGGGATTGGGGATGCCGTAACGAACATTCTTGCAAGTCAGATCTCCACATGGTGACGAATGATCGATAACCGGCGCTGCCTTTCTCTTGCATGTGATCTGATTTATTCTAACCCATGTTTCCAACGCCATATTTCGCACGTCGTTCTTGGTGGTTCAACAGGTCCGTGCTTCACCTGCGTTCCGTTGGATGCTTCCGGCAATTACGAACCCGGGTGTTAGTAAAGGCTTACTCATTAGACTACTCAGTCAGCGCTGACTGAGTAGTCTAATAATGGGTAAGCCTTTATCTATCAAAAGATACACTCTCGGCTCGTAGAATCCTGGGCTGTGAGTAGAGATCTCCGGGGACGGACCCATCGCCAGGCGCTGCCGAGTACAGAACTATGGTGCTTTTCGTAAAGTGATCAGCCCGGGATTCGAACCTGTGCGTGTACCCTTTGATAGTAAAGGCTTACCCATTAGACTACTCAGTCAGCGCTGATAACTTTTCGAAAAGCACTATAATTCTATTCTCGGCAGCGCCTGGCGAGGGGTCCGTCCCCGGAGATCTCTACTCACAGCCCGGGATTCTACGAGCCGAGAGTGTATCTTTTGGTAGATAAAGGCTTACCCATTAGACTACTAAGTC